CATTTGAGCTCCTCTGTCTGTTTGCGGCCCTCCCGAAGCCCGCTGGAAGATACCAAAATTTTGTGTTTGAGGGCGCCCGCGCGGGCAACGCAGAATCAACCCTACAGCAGTTCACGCGGACCCTGCAATCAAAAGGGTAAGCTCGGGAGTGGGTTTGCGGACATAGTTTGACCTCCCCTGTCCATCTATGGCCCTCCCGCGGCTCCCCTTGAAGAACAGTTTCCGCATGAAGGGTCGCAGAACGCAGAATCAACCCTACAACAGTTCACGCGGACCCTGCAATCAAAAGGGTAAGCTCGGGAGTGGGTTTGCGGACATAGTTTGACCTCCCCTGTCCATCTATGGCCCTCCCGCGGCTCCCCTTGAAGAACAGTTTCCGCATGAAGGGTCGCAGAATGCAGAATCAATCTGACACAGTTCATGGGGATACTGTAAGCCTTCAGGTGGGCTCAGGAGTGGGTTTGCCCACATAGTTTGACCTACCCTGTCCATCTATGGCCCTCCCGCGGCTCCCCTTGAAGACCATTTTCCGCAGGAAGGGTGTGCGAATGTGATTCTGCATTCTGCTACCCTTCATGCGGAAACTGGTCTTCAAGGGGAGCCGCGGGAGGGCCATAGATGGACAGGGGAGGTCAAACTATGTCCGCAAACCCACTCCCGAACTTACCCTTTTGATTGCAGGGTCCGCGTGAACTGTTGTAGGGTTGATTCTGCGTTGGCCCCGCGGGCCCTTTCAAACACCAAATTTTTGGTTTGAAAGGGTATCTTCGGGAAGGGCGCAAACAGACAGAGGAGCTCAAATGACGTAGGCTCGTCCGGTCGAGGGCCCGCGGGGTGTGACACAGTGCTCCGCTGAAGGGTGTCGCCGTGATTCTGCGAAGGCGTCGTTTTGATTCTGCGTGGTTGTTGCTTGGATGGCTGTGACTTCGTTTCGGAACGTATGTAAGTCGTTGAAGAACTTCAAATGATGTAGAGTTCTTCACTTGAAGGTCGTTAATGATCGATATCCAGCTACGTTTGCATTGAGTGTTTGTTTCGCTGGAGTTCGCACCTTGCTTAGGGACGTGCCTAGCTGCTTTGCAGAGGATGATGTATGAGCACCACAAGTTCACTTTGTCGTTGAAAGCAGTCATCGTGGAAGCATTCGAAAATGCTTCGGATTTTCAAAAAAAAAACGTTTTTGCGAGATGCCGCAGACGAGCCTCGCGACATGTAAGCAGCGGCCTGGCGAGAGGCCCCCGGAGGCGAAGTCTCTGGATCCCAACAACGCGCGCGCGCGCGCGCGCGAAAAGGTCTTTGGAGGCCTGGCGGTGAAGGGTTTCAGCTCAACGGTCATCGCAAAGAAACCCCTTCTGGCTTTAGTTGCTCAATGCGCTGCCTCCACGTCTCGCCTTTCGCTTTGGTGACCCTCTGATCCACGACTTTCCATGGGCGCAACCAGCGTGGCCAGCTAGCATCCTCAAGTTTCCAAGATTGACACTGAAAAAATCAACGCAACAGTGTCTGCTAAAAAAACCGGCGTGGCCAACTAGCATCCTCAAGTTTCCGAGATTGAGGCTATAAAAATCGCCGCAACAGTGTGTGCTAAGCAGAGTTTAGAGGGTGGTCTAGGCACAGCCTCGAGCGTAACCTAGGGAGGGCTGTCATGAAGCGATATCGCGATCTAGACTGTCGAACCTTCGTGTGTCCGTTTCTTGGCCGCCCCCCCCCCCCACCCTGTCTCCATACCCCATCCCTCTCTCGCCTCTCGCGTCACGTCTGTTGTAACCTCTCGTAACAACCAAACGAAACGCGCCTGACCTCCACACAAAACATAGGTGTTTTTGTCTGATCTCGTCTATATTACATCTAAGCTACTAGGATGATACTGGAAGGTGCAACTTTTGCGCTCTGCAAATTTTATGCCCGACCCCCCCCCCCCCCCCCCCCTTCCCCTCCGCTTTTCTGCTATAGCGCCAGCACCACATCATCCGAAACATAGAACGACACTGCCCATGTAATATGCCGTCAAAACGAAATCGCTTCATGGGGTTACCTTCCGGCTCCAGGTGAGATATTGGTCTACCTTCGCCCGCTGCGCAGCGCTGTTGTGCTCCGTGGCACGACGTCAACTTGGACGTGAGTGGCTGCCCAACAACAATCCAGAAGTTTTCCGTTCGCTGCGGTCACGACATCGTTTTACGATAGCAACCACAGCTATCGAATTCGATTTCCTGTCTTTCAATGTTTCCACATCGGACTGTGTCCACGGCAGTGCTTCCAGTTTCAAGACCGAAAGCATTGCTTCGCACAGTTGAGGCTGCGGTGACGCCATCGCTTGACGATAGCAACAACAGCTGTCAAGTTTCTTTGCGATGACCGAAAAGCTGCAACCCCTCGCCAAGAAGGCTGCCAAAGACCTTCTCGACCGGCGAAGCATAGTTCAACTTGCAAAGTTCGCTTTGCTAGCAACAGCTGAAGCTGCGGTCATGCCATCGCTTGACGATAACAACCTCAGCTGTCGAGTTTCTTTGCGATGACCTTCCAGCTCAAACCCTTCAAATCAAACTCAAGACCGCACATCTCCTTTTTCTATCCAGATAAACCCTGGGGCTCATATGAAAAGTGCCTCGCTTCCAGAAAAAAAAAATACCATTGTTTCATAAACCAGAGTTTAGGAAACTAAACCCTAAAAGGCGGAGCTGGTTACGGGCGGGAGCCGCCCGAGCGGCGCGGGCGGGAGAAAAAAACTGACGCGGCCGACACAAGGCCCCAGTCTCCGTGCCGCCATACACACTCCGAGGCCGAAAGATTCGCATCGACCGCAGACGCCCAACCGGCGAGGGTACTCTTACTGGTCCTTGCGCAAACCCTAAACCCTAAACCCTAAACCCTAAACCCTAAACCCTAAACCCTAAACCCTAAACCCTAAACCCTAAACCCTAAACCCTAAACCCTAAAAACCCTAAACCCTAACCCTAAACCCGAAAACCCTAAACCCTAAACCCCGAAAACCCTAAACCCTAAACCCTAAACCCTAAACCCTAACCCTAAACCTAAACCCCTAAACCCTAAACCCTAACCCTAACCTAAACCCAACCCAAAAACCCTAAACCTAAACCCTAAACCCAAAACCTAAACCCTAAACCCTAAACCCCTAAACCCCTAACCCTAAACCCTAAACCCTAACCCTAAATCCCTAAACCCTAACCCTAACCCTAAACCCTAAACTCTAAGGCGCTTGCCGGTCGGCCATGTGGCCGACCGCAGCGACCTCTTCGTCAGGCGACTGCATGGCATTCGCACATACAGTATGCCTAAACAGCAATTCTACTGTGCTATCAAGCTTTCAGCTGTGCCACCACTAAGCATTGGGATTTAGTCAGTACTGACATATAATTGTAACCCTAATGCCGCGATTGCGGGCTCTTTCGTTCGTGTTTTCAAGGATTTAGGCCTGATTTCTAGGATTTAGGAACACATTTTCAAGGATTTAGGCACGATTTCTAGGATTTAGGGTATCCTTTCTAGGATTTAGGGAGCTCTAGGATTTAGGAATCAAAGATTTAGGCCCGATTTCTAGGATTTAGGAACACATTTTCAAGGATTTAGGCACGATTTCTAGGATTTAGGGTATCCCTTCTAGGATTTAGGGAGCTCTAGGATTTAGGAATCAAGGATATAGGCCCGATTTCTAGGATTTAGGAACACATTTTCAAGGATTTAGGCACGATTTCTAGGATTTAGGGTATCCTTTCTAGGATTTAGGGAGCTCTAGGATTTAGGAATATGTTTGGTCAAGGATTTAGGGTTCGTCTAGGGTTTAGACGTCCTTCTCTAGGGTTTCGTGCCTCGGATTTCGGAAATTGAACGCCGATTTTTGAATGATAAATTCTTTTCATAAAATGTAGATTTTAATATGGCTAGTGGCCCATCTCGGGGTCCCCCCCCTTTCGGGCAGTTCTCTAGGATTTAGAAACCCGTCTCAAGGATTTAGCGGCGCTTTGGGCCGGTTCTCTAGGATTTAGAGGCCTGTCTCAAGTTATGGACCCTTTTCGTTCGTGTTCTCAAGGATTTAGGCCTGATTTCTAGGATTTAGGAACACATTTTCAAGGATTTAGGCATGATTTCTAGGATTTAGGGTATCTTTCTAGGATTTAGGGAGGTTTCTAGGGTTTAGGAAGCGCGTTCTAGGATTTAGAGGCCTGTCTTAAGGATTTAGCGCTCTAGGATTTAGGGAGCTCTAGGATTTAGGAATATGTTTGGTCAAGGATTTAGGGTTCGTCTAGGGTTTAGACGTCCTTCTCTAGGGTTTCGTGCCTCGGATTTCGGAAATTGAACGCCGATTTTTGAATGATAAATTCTTTTCATAAAATGTAGATTTTAATATGGCCAGTGGCCCATCTCGGGGTCCCCCCCCTTTCGGGCAGTTCTCTAGGATTTAGAAACCTGTCTCAAGGATTTAGCGGCGCTTTGGGCCGGTTCTCTAGGATTTAGAGGCCTGTCTCAAGTTATGGACCCTTTTCGTTCGTGTTCTCAAGGATTTAGGCCTGATTTCTAGAATTTAGGAACACATTTTCAAGGATTTAGGCATGATTTCTAGGATTTAGGGTATCTTTCTAGGATTTAGGGAGGTTTCTAGGGTTTAGGAAGCGCGTTCTAGGATTTAGAGGCCTGTCTTAAGGATTAGGAAATTGAAGGCCGATTTTTGAGTGATAAATTCTTTGTATAAAAAGTAGTTTTTAATGTGGCCAGTGGCCCACCCGGGGTTATTCCCTTTCGCGCAGGTCTCTAGGATTTAGGAAACTTTCTAGGATTTAGAAGATTCTAGGGTATCGGAAACGCGTTCTAGGATTTTGCGCTTTGGGCCGGACGCCACTCAAGAATTTAGGCCGAAGATTGAGCCCTACCCAGAACGACGCATGATGAGCTGCGCTCGTCCATTTTGCTCGGACCGGGTCAATGTCGAGGCATGCGGGGGCTTTGCCCGCTCCGCAGCACAAGAGACCTGTCGCACTGTACTAGCCAAGCTCCGCCGGCAGGCAATGCTGTCTTCGAATGGATCCAATGAATCTCCAGTCAGCGTCGTGTCTAACTCTCGAAAGGGCAACATATAATGCAGCACGAACATATGGAACATCCATGTATATAGTCACGTGGGACAATGTCGCCCCCTGTATCTTGTGAAGGGTCGTACTGTATCCGGGTCGAAGAGCGAACACTGTTGCCCTGCGAATGCTTCCGTCTGCGAGGGCGGTCTCGGTGGTAATAGGGTGGATGAGCAGGATCTCGCCTTCGTCAGTCTTTACCTGCACGCCGCTCTGGCGGAGCCTTTGTACCACTGCGCCCATGCCGTTGACAAAACCATGTCGTTTGTTTGCATTCCTTGTAATTCGAACCCTCATGCCTTCGTATAGAGGCATCATACATGGCTCCGCACTCGTCTGATGGAGTCCATCGAAGTTCTCCGCATTGTCGGTTGGTTCGCATGGGATTCGGCCTAGGGGCTCGGCATCCGCAAATAGAGCCCGAATCGCAAGCCTGTTCAGATAAGCCGAAGCACGACGAGATATGGTTACGAAGGTCGTATCCGGGGTCTCCTGTAGGATGACTGCAATGTCCATGGCAGTCGGCCATCCTGAACCGGGCCGGACTCTCATGCCCGCGCGGTGTCCGCGCAGCAGTTTACGCAATTGTCGGCCGGAGGGAATTGCACTCCGTAGAAGTTGCAACTTCCAACGCAGCTGTGCGCATTTGCAGCGACGCATTTCAGTGAGTGTCGATAGGCGCACCTCAGCCCACCTGAAACTCTGTCTCGCAGTGGTTCCATCTGGCCCAGTCAGCTGGCAAAAGTCTCCGACGAAGACGAGTGCCGTTCGCCTATCCGTGGCGTCCCATAATCGCATAAGCCGCTCGAAAATCCATGTAGGTAGTTGTCCCACTTCGTCTATCACGACCAGATCGTATGGACGCATCATCTCTGCTGTGGCAAGTTCATCCAGATGTAGCCCGAACATGCCGTGAACTGTGTCTATGTCTAGGCCTGGATGTCGGGCTCTGTACCCCGTCGCAAGCATGCCGGTGGGACATGCGACGCCTATGTGTGCTCCTCGTGCGGCTGCCTCCGCCAACACGATGTCCACGGCGGTGGTTTTTCCGCTCCCGGCGGGCCCGAGGATGCACGAGACGAGGTTGTGCCGGATGCTGGCGTCGTCCAGCCATACGTCCCAGGCGTCTACTGAGTTGTCTTCGGGCCATTTGGCGTTCAACGCCACCTCGACTCGGCCACGCAAAAAACGGACGACATGCAGTTGTTCCACCGTCAGTTTGACAGGTCCGTCAGGCAACTGCGTTGTCCCATATACAGGCGGGTCTGGGGTGGTGGCCTTCACGAGATTGCCTGATAAATAGTCGTCGACCAGCTCCGTTCGCGCTGCCAGCTCTGACAGTACGTTGCTGATGTGCAGATCTGGCTTGGCTTCCTGCTGCAGTTCGTATGCCACATGATCGGGGTTGCGCCAGAACCTAGGACGATGTAAAAGGCATAGTCCCAAGAATCGAAGGCTATCTGGGAGTAGTGCTGCTTCTGGCTTCCATAGATCATCTAGACATCGAAATGGCACGTGCAATAGAAGCCATTGCCCGAAGTACTGATCATTAGAACGACTGTAGAGAATGGTAGCTGCGAGAATGCTCGCGTCCACGGGAACCACGTTAATCCATTCCGAAAGAGGCATTTCGATGCGGGAATTCTTATGTGTCGTCCGGTATCTGCAAGAGATTTGCCCATCTGATCCAGATTTCCGAAGATATTCCAGAAGGTTCATCTCTTCTCTTCGCCATGGACAAGACATATATCCACGAACTATCAGCGGCATCTCTGCCGCCCAGGGAATCGGGACCACGAATTTGCGAATAACGCTGGGGCAGAGGAATTGCGGATGTCGCTGAGCAGCCAGCTGCAGGACCATTTCGGGCTGCAGAGGGTGATACTCTGCCAAGATACGACGAGCTAATGAAAAGTCGCTGGCCTGGTCGTTCAAGAGCTCCTGTGCGAACGAGCTGCTGAACTTGGGTAGGTAACCTCGGACTCAGATCACAGGCATCTGAGAAGACTACGTGATGTCGTGGATCACTGGAAGAAGGCCTAATGCAAGCCAGGATACTCGCGCAGTACTTCAGCACCATGCCCCTTCCGTCTGATGCTTGAACATCCGTGTGGCAGCGAAGCGCAGCCAATACATCCACGATGTACGCCCGGCAGTGTCGCTCGAAGGCACTAATCGGGTGTCTCAGCAGTAGCATCTGCCCCGGGTCTTGGACGACGGTTTTCTCTTCGCGCTGTCTCCATCCGCTTGATGTCCAGTCCAGCTGTGAGGCCACGACAAGAGCCCTGAGCTCGGGCTCGTCTTCCCCGGGTATGTCGGCGCGAAGCTTGGAGTCCAGTGCCATATTCTTCATGCCGTCCAGCCAGACAAGAATGTGCACGTGGACAGTGCCTCGTCCATGATAGTGTTGACCCTGCCGAAATGCTGCGCGCTTTCTCTTCCCATCCTGGAATTCCAGCCGCGCGACCCAATAGCGCACTCGACCGCTGCCCTCACTGCCTGCGAAGATATGCTCGCGGCTTCCCCGGGCACCCTCGTTGGCGCCGGTCATTAGACCTTTCACGGCCTGACTAAGCACATGCGCTATGTGAAGAGTCTCTGCCGTAGGTATGTTCAGCTTTTCACTGAGACTCTTGGCCAGCTCGTCCTCCAGCCAGCAATGATATGGAAACGACCATTCGTATGGTGCAACCGTCAAGAAGAGGCTGGGCCATCCAAGCTGACGCTGTGCGTCTACGAGTGCCATGTGATACGTGCGCCAGACCTCGGGAGAATAGGGTTTCGTCGCAAGCGCCTCGCGTATGCCCGTGCCCGCGCTGTTCTTGGCCCCACCGACTGTTGTGAACAGCCATAGGTCATACACGAACTGCAGGAGCCGCGGCTCGCAGTTGTAGCCAATTAGTGCGGAATGCGCCTTTGCGAGAAAGCTCGCTTTGGCGCTCTGACGGGTGGATCCCGAGAAGGCTGTGTCCATCTCGTCCATCTCCTCGTCATTGTCGTCATGCTGGCGGCGGCGCTTCAGCCTTCGTGCGTCCTGAGAGCGAACATACGTTTCTGTCATGGCCACCGTCCAGTACAGATGGGGCCACAAGGCACACTCCAATCCCGCCGTCTCGATAAAATTGACGGGCATCCTCTTGATGGGCGCATCCGCCGGAACGTCGCCTCTGTCGATTGCGTTTGCCCTCTGTCGTAAGAAACGGACATGAAGCTGCCAGAAGCGTCTGTAGGACGAATCGGCCGATTCCAGTAAATATAGTAGGGCGCGCTCTCCGCGCCGTCGCTGCTTTGATGGAAGCTTCGCGAGGTTAGACTCTACCGACGATGGCTTAAAGGAGAACCGCAGCATATCCGTATGGACCAGATAGCCGTGTGGCACTCGGAATTGACCGCCATCATGCATATCGAACGGCCGCAGGGCCTCGATCACATCCGGTGTTAGCTTCCTAAGCCGTTTGGGAACGTCATCTGGCGCAGGTGCCCAATAACCAACTGCTCCTCCCGATTTGCAATAGCTGCATGAAGTTAGTTGAGCAGTGTTCTTGGCAGTGCCCTTGGCGTGCTGCGATCGAAAGGGCTGTGGCACCAGGCGCCCGCAGACGCTACATGTACGCCAAGAGTCTAGACGACACCACCGACGAAACGACAGGGCGCGCCGGCTCATCCACTGCTCCTCGGCTCTTGCGGTGCCGTTGTAAAGGGTACCGAACTTACGCTTCAATCGCTCCAGAGTCCTGTGTTTGCATGCCTCGAAGACTCTCGCTGCAGATTTGTCGACGTGCACGGCCGGCCGACGACTTCGAAGGGTGTGCTCCCAATTCACTTCCATAACCTCGTCTTTGGTTCGCCCCTTGCAATGGAAGCGAGCGGCAGCTTCGGATCCCTGCATCTGTGCGATGCGCTTCATGGCTTCTCCATGGAGGACGGTGCTGGCTTTTGCCAATCGGGATAAGCATCTGCGAACGTATCTGATGTCCGTGTCAAGTGCAGTACGCAATGCCTCCGGTGAGCAGAAAATGCAGTGCTCGAAGACTCCACTGCTCCCTGGGGGAATATATCGGCGACACGGTTTGCCATCGCCAGTCAAACTGAATCGGCAATCCAGGTTGCGGCATTCGGTGCCCGTCTTCGACGGCGTCTTCGCATCCACGCTTTCCAGAGGAATCCAATTGACACAGCCGGTGGTGTGCCGATATGGAATAGGCTTTCGGTAGGCACGTACATCATCCAGCACCCACGCATGCGGCCGGGTGTATCTCACTGTTTCTAAGTCTTCGATGAGATGAAGGGCGTGATTTGCTGCCAGTTCCTCTCGCGTGATCGGCTTGCAGTCCCGAATCACCGCCTGTCCAACGAGCGTTTGACTGCCGCTCTTGGCCAGAGCTATCGATCTTCCCAGGTGCTTGCGGCAGGCAGTACCGCGAATCTCCCAGCGCTTGCCGTGGTGCAGAATCTTATCGCACCATTCGGGTTTGATGGCGAGAGCTACCGCTGGCAGCTGCGACGTGTCTGCTTTGTCGTCGCAGGCGAGACTCAGGTCCACATCTTGTTCATGCCGGGGTAGATCCGTGCGCTCCAACATGACCAGCTGTTTTTCCAACTCTTCCTGTCCCAATATCTGCCCTATCTCTGCGAGCCAGGTACCGAGCTTGGCTGGATTTTGTCGACACGCCGCCATGAGCCTGAGAGTAATGGTCCGCTGGGAGGCGTCGTCGTCCACATCGCATGGGGTGGAGTCGGTCTGCCTCGAGCGAGAAATGCTAGAGTATATTTACGACCACATTAGCGCTCGATGCCTCTCTGCATGCGCAAGTGCAACGGCATCCATGCATCTGGTCGACCTCAGGCCAGCGCGGAGCAGGTAAGTTAGGACTGTCCAAGAGTCCTATTCGCACAGGACTATCTACAAATGCTTCAATGCCGAGGCGAGGTCGGGCCGCATGTTGTAGGATCGGGTATCCCCCTGTCTCTGGTTCGTCTTGAGACAAGTTGACTGTGTGATGCAGAGCCCAAGGGTCGAGCCAGCAGGCGCCGTCGGCGATCGAACACCCCTGTCCTGAGAATGACCTCGGGTAGCCACATCTTCGGTCTCAATGCGCACAGGTTGTGAGATGAAAAGCGAATCGCCTTGTGCCTCGCACTCCCAGTGTAGACGACAACACGGTGAATTCAGGTCTATGCGATTGCACGAATACACATGCCTCTCAGTTTTAATTGGCCAAAACGTGTTGTGCTCAATTGGATCCGATATCCCCCTGGGATGGCTTCTGCTCGAACCCAGCCGAGTGTCGGATCGACTGCTTAGGCTCTCACCAGCAGGCGCCAGTGGCATTGGAGCCGTGGTCGTCTTCATGATAAAGGTGCCTCGCTCGTTCGATTGCCGACCCAGAAACTGAGGTCATGTACTAATCGTGTTCGGTATGTGCGAGCCCCTAAGTCGTGGGCTCCAGTCCCTCGATTCTCCGCTCCACTGGGATGAGCGCACGGCTTTCTCCGGTCGCTGCGCATCGCAGTGCCTGCAACAGGGCAGAGTCAGGTCACGAAATCACTGCTAGAACGAGCCTGCAGAAAGTTGCGTCGTTCCTGCTTCGTCCACGTCGAGCCAACCAGCCTTGCTGACAGGGTGGTCCTCTTGCTTCGCCACTGCATGCTCTCCGGGCGCGTTGCACTGGGAGCAAAGAGAGGACGTAGAAAAGGTATCCTCCCATGTCGTCGAAACCTGCATGAGGTATTTCTAGAGTCATTTCAATCGTATGATGTAACAACGCCTTGTCCAAGTGCCGAAGAGATATTGCGCCAGAGAGACACTACTGCTTGGAACCAAACGATCACACGAGTACGGAGGCTCGTACATCAACCTTGCAGGATTATGGTATACACTGCAGCTTCATCTTTCACGAGGCTCTACGCGGTTGACCCACGGGGGCAGAGCCCGCACCGTGAGCAGTGCCAATCTTGCCTCTGGCGTCCAGCTGTGTCGCAGCACCGGTTCCGTCCTATCGGCTTGCTGGGGTTTTCTTCGCTGCATGCCCTACGCGGTACATTGATCCTATTTCAATGGGATATTTTGCTAAGACGCTGTTGCTTGAACCGACGCGAACTCACGAACACAATACTGCTCCTCACACAGTCTTGCAGCATGACAGTGTGCATTGCGCTTTCAATCTTGGCAAGCTCTCAAAGTATGTCACGACGGGGGCTGGGCCCGCACCGCCGGCATTGCCCGGCTCGTCTCAGGGATCCAACTGTGTCGCCACACTGGTCTCGTCCTCACAGCTTGTTGGAGGATTACGTGATCTTGCCGCCCCCATACTTCGTGTTTCAGACGTAGCTCTTTCATTGTTACCACAAGTAAGTCATGGTCCTCGTAGGATACCGCAGGGATCTCACAGGAAGACACTGCTGCGACCTCTCCGCCAACCTCGGGTCGAGTCCGCACGTCGACAGAAGCACCTGCTTCTTGCAGGCCGGCAGCCTCTGTGTCTCGCGACTGTAATGTCACAGCTCCTGGAACCTATAGGAGAGTGTTGGGATGGAGCCACGGACATGCTCAACTGCTACGTGCCTCGACACTCGCATCCTCTCCGAGCGCGTCCTTCGGCATCGCATGTGGTTCTTTTTGTATGCATGACTAGCAAACTCTAGCACGCGGAATTGCGAAGTAAGTCCTGGTCCTCGTAGGATACCGCAGGGATCTCATGGGAAGACGCCGCTGCGACCTCTCCGCCAACCTCGGGTCGAGTCCGCGCGTTGACAGAGGCACCTTCTTCTTGCAGGCCGGCAGCCTCTGTGTCGCGCGACTGTAATGTCACAGTTCCTGGAACCTAAGAGAATGTTGGGATGAAGCCACGGACATGCTCAACTGCTACGTGCCTCGGCACGTGCATCCTCATCAAGCGCGTCCTTCGGCATCGCATGTGGTTTTTTTTGTACGCATGACTAGCAGATTCTAGCACGCGAAATCGCCTGAGTCTGTAGCACGCCTACAACCTGGACGTATGCCTCGTCCGCTGCATGTCGGTTTGTCGGATCATCGTGCATCGCGTCGGGATCCTTCTCAGCATTCATTCACACGGTCACACCAAACCTTGGCCGCTGCTCAGCCTGCCTGCCCAGTCGCGACGATGGCCTCGGGTTCGAGCAGGCAGGAGGGCCGTTCTCGAGGCCTCATCGTGCGGAAGGAGCCGGACGGCTTCAAAGCGCTTTTGCGCTTACTGCCGCTGCCGCGCGCGTTGCCGGTTGAACCCGTCGGAGCCAACGCGTCCGTCGTGCTCTCGCACATTCCGCCCGTCTTCTTCGCCCATGAAGGTGGCCGCAACGACTCAGGCCCCTCGCCGCGGCGAGTGGAGGTTTTCGGCCGCGCACGGCTGCCTACGGGCAGCACGCCCCACGCATCCTCCGCGCTCACATTCGCCGTTCCCGCGGATTTCGTCTCCCTCATCTTGGCCTTGTAGCTGCCTCGAGGAGCTCTTTTCACTCGCGATGGATCGCTCCGGCGGCGGCTCCTTGCGAGGCGTGCAGCGTAGTCGGCACGCATTGCAGTTCCGCCATGTACTTCGATAATGCGAAGCGCTTCCAACTGATCTTCGGGTTTGAGCTGTTTGAGGAAGTGAGTCACCAGCGATCCTCGTCGGACCCATGTTAATCGCTCAAACCTGTCCGAGCTGCAGAAGATACACCGGACATCTGATGCCGAAGCTTCGCCCGGCGCCCCCGTCCCATCAAGCGCCAATGTACAGACTGCTCCATGAAGGCCTTGACAAACTCTTCCCGACTGTGTCGGCCCTTGCCAAAGATGCAAGCCGCGACCCACGTACGAACGCGGATGTCTTCGCCTCAGAGGGGTCCTGCCAACAGGCGCCTCGGCCGTGTGGCCGTTGGAGGCGACCTCTTCCGAGTCCGTGGATCGCGAAGTCGTCGTGGACGAAGACGAGGGCGAGCTTGAAGAACTGTCAGGTCGCACGAAAGGCACATGACGTGTGATGCACCGCTGCGACTCGCCTGTCTTTCGCTGCTCGTCCTAAGAAGACAATAGGCAGGAAGAACACCATGAGGGCATAGCGCAGGATGCCCATGACCTGCAGGATGAGTCAATCCGATACACTCGCGCAACTGCGAGACGCGGCCTCGACGGCAACTACTGCCGAGATTCTTCTACAGCACTGAGCCCGAATGCTGACGCAGACTTCGCTGCCCTCGAGACAAGTCCGGTCCGAGAAGGGCCTCCACATGCTTGCGCTCTGGACATTAGCACGATTTTCATTTTCCGAGCTGCATCTTCTGCGTGTCTGCAGTCTCACGGGGATGCTATCCGCGCCGTGCGACCGTCCTAGCATGATTTTCATGTTGGAGCTGCATCTTCTGCATATCTGCGGTCTCACGGGGATCATATCCGCGCCGTGCGACCGTCCGAGAAAAACCTCAGGGATTCATTTCATGCAAGATGCCGGACTCGAGGTTGTTCTCTCTGGAACGTTTGCGCGTGCATCGCTGTGGCAGCCAGCTCCCTGCAAGACGGAAGTGAGGGCTTTGGTTACCCTCCGCGTCCGCCACCGTGCCAAGAAGCAATCTGCATACCACCGGGCCCTCTCCTATGAGGGTGTCGTATTCATCAGAAGCACCTTCTAGGCAGACCACGATAGAACCTTCCAGCCATTTGGCTACATATTCGATGACAGGGCCCTCCGGGAGGTTGCAACTCGACAAAGCCTCGATGAGGTCAAACCGACCGTCCTCGGCGCACATTGCCCCCACGATCTGCCGCAGACGCTTGCAGGCGGTAGATAATTCGACGTCTTCGCGCTGGCTGGCCACGAAACCGTTCCTGTCCTGTGGTAACTGCCTCAAGCGGACCACATCGCGTGCCGCGACCGCACACGAGAAGAGGCACTGTCCGTCCGGGGGGACGTCCAGCACTTCTAGTTCGTGCATCGCCGGCGGTGCCGCAAAGCCCCGCCGAGCAATTTCCTCCGCCGTAGCGGGTATTCCCGTATGACACATGCTTGCACCGAGCCTCGGTGGAAAAGATGTTTCCGAGTAGGCATCTGCCGAAGGTTTTGTGCTGAGGACACCACACCTCGCTGTCCACGCGAAGGTCGCAGGTCGCCTCGTGGAGCCTCGGTGTCCGGAGGCAGATGAGGGGGAATGAATTGCGGCTCGACGGTCGCGCTCCGGCGTGCTGTGAAACAGACGACGAAGAGGCTCGAGCTGCGGAAGCTCAAGTCGATCGACGCACGAGGACGATGCATACGATGACGAAGGCGAGGACTCCATCCTGGCAGAAGCTGCACATACTCGCTACCGTGCACCCTCGATGTAACATTCGAGCCGTGTGACTGCATCGACTGGGCGTCGCCCGTAGTTTGCCTGTGATCCCGACATCGCGCAGCCACCGGCAAATAGCTTTTATGAGCCCGAGACGATAGCGTCTGGATCCTTCGCTCTAGCCGGGGATCGACGTGACCCTCTCGCAGGGCCACCTCGCGCAGAGCCTGCACTTGTTTTACTGCTATGACGCGCGGCCGCAGAGCCAGCGCGCCTGGAGCAGGTTACGCCTTTCGATTTCGGTCAGCGTCGCACATGCTAGCCTAGGCACCGAAGGCAGGCACGACCGAAGTCTCGGGACTGAGGGCACGGCGTTTGCAAGACGGCAATAAAAAGAAGAAATGTCATGGCATCCAATGCCTCGGCAGCCGCCGATATTCCCTATGCAACGGATTGTATCGACCTAGACGGATCTAAGCTTTAAGTATGTGTTCACTTCGTGGTGCTGTCGCAATCTTCGCGCGTTGTATATATACAACACCATCATGCAACAACCTCACACGGTCATGAACATCATAACATCTGCTTGCATCTCGGCATACCGAGACCGTGACCGGCAAAGAATGAGAATGGCACGCACTTTCTTGAAAAGCTTCCTAGTGGCTGCGGCAGGCACGCGACGGCTGATTCTTGGACACGGTGTCGACCGGCAACCGCCTTTCTTTTGCTCTCGCTGCAGATTCGCTCAAGTGCACGCATCTGTGCGAGTGCTTTCGGTCACGGGGGCTCGGCCCGCACCGCGGCCAATTATTCCACTCATCGGATTGACAAAGCCCGCCAGCTTGAGTTACTTCTCACGGAAGACTTCCTTCCTACATAAGGGCATCGAGCTATTGCTTACCAACTCTTCTAGCGTTCCGAGTTGCCTCGGGGGCTTGCCCGCACCGAGACTACCGCAAGTGAACGCAGCAGGGCCGAGGCTTATGTCGAGACCATCGCAAGTGATACGCAGTCGGACGCTCAAATTCGATGGTGCCGGCGCCGTGGCTGGGGCTCCGACACCGGCAATACCTTCGGGGGTGTAGTTAGTTGATTTCTGCGGGCGTTCCGCTGCTGGGCGGCACACCATGTCCGGGAGGGAACGGTATACCTCGATGCTGCGTAGGCGGAGTCCGGCCTGGTTGGCGCTGTTGTAAGTTAAGCTTGCAATCTACAAAACCAAGGCAGACGCGGGAAGCAGGTACCAACCAGGAAGAAAATGATGCACGCGCTGCTCCTGCATTTGTTACATAAGACATGTCATTTATGGATTTCGAACTAACTTGCACGCCTGTAGAAGGTAAAAGCCCTGGAGCCACCGGCACTCGAACACGACGAAGCAGATCTGAGAACCGAAAGAATGTCAGAACGCAAACTGGCTGCACAGCGGCGTGCACGATCTAGCCTGCCAGCTTGGCAACGGAACCGAGTTCGACCGAGGCCTGCCCAGGCCGACCTGCACACGTCAGCCGACGGCTGCGCGAGTTCTGCGGCCATGTTTCGTGCCTCTTCATCAGTGTCCGGGAAGACCTCCGTGGGCAACGGAACCGAGCTCGACCGAGGCCCGCCCGCGGCGACCTGTGAACATGAGCCGACGGCCGCGCAAGTTCTGCGACTTGTTTCGTGCCTCTTCGTCAGTGTCCGGGAAAACCTCCGTGGGCACCTTCTCCAAACGCGGCATTGTGTGACAGGCTGGAAGTTCACACAGCGCCTCGAGGGCGATGCGGGCCTCCCCGTGCATGGCGAGTTGCAAACTCGCTGCTGTGAGGTTTGGTTCTCGCCCGCCTCTCGGCGCAGTCGCGCATTCGCGCGATCGTGCCGGCCGTGTCGACGACGCACGGTTGGGCGTGACCTAAGCGTTGTAAGGGTGATGTTCTGCAGGTTGTACGGGCGGAGGCAAAACAGCAGTGTGCCGAGACTGAGTCCGGGGCTCGTCCTCGGCGGCCGGCAATGGCACCCCCCTTATGAGTCTGCAGCCCCGCGCACTCGAAATTACAAGCGTCTGAGTCCGAGGCCATGCGTCTGCACCCATGAGGCTTCTGTGCACGGGCGCCGACAGATTCCAGCCGAGACAGGCTGCGGGGTTTGCTTTAGATGGAATTCATCCGTCGCACAATCGTTGTTGAACTGCTGTGGGTGATATATATGAGATAGACCTTATAAATCACTCAATCTATGTATCAACTCAAACTAGCCTTTTCAAGCTTCCGAGTTTGAGGCTTACAAGAGACGCCGCAACAGTGTGTGCTAAACAAACCAGCGTGGCCAGCTAGCGCAAGTTTTCCTGCTCGACCGCCGTATAAGGGTCGCGCAAACCAGCCTAGGCACCGGCTTCAGGCACGTCCCTAAACTGAACGACCGAGCACACGACGTCTGCAGGACGGAAAGAAGCAGGAGGATAGCCGTGTCGTCCAAAGCCTGGGCAACATGCTCATATAAATTTCCACGACGCCCTTGCAACGACATTCATGGAGCATGCTCCCATGTGTGCCTCATGCGTGCCGCGACCTGTGGACGACTGCGCCTGCACAGAACAAGAGCACAGAAGACACCCCACTGTTATTGAGACGATCACTGTTGTCAGTTCGATCAGCATACCGAGGCCGTCACGAAAATTTGAAGAACTATCCTGGACTACGCTGATAAGTTCCCTAGTGGCTGCGGTCGGCGAACAACCGATAGATGCTGCTGTCATCGCTGTCGGAGACTGCGGTCGTTCTTTTTGCGGCAGCGGGACTCAGACGCGGAAAGCATCGATGCAAGGAGTGCATCCTGTCACGGGGGCTCAGCCCGCACCGTGACGTTCGGCTACCAAACATTTCCGCTTTGGATTGGCGAAGCCGAAGAGTTCGATTGACGATGCAGTGATGCCCTTCTGCGTGTCCTCAGTCCTTTGCACTCTCCGTTCCCTCGTCCGCCTTGCCCTGCTCGACCTTGGCGAGATCCTCCTCCTCCGTCGGACTCTTCCTCTCCAGCTTCTCGGGTTCTGCATCGGACTCCTCCGTCGCGGCCTTTTTCTTCTTCGGCTTCTTGTCTTTCTTGGCTTTCTTGCTCTCGACCTTGGCGAGATCCTCCTCCTCCGTCGGACTCTTCCTCTCCGGCTTCTCGGGTTCTGCATCGGACTCCTCCGTCGCGGCCTTTTTCTTCTTCAGCTTCTTGTCTTTCTTGGCTTTCTTGCTCTTCTTGCGTTTCTTGTCCGAGGAATCCGTAGAGCTCGAATTCGAAGACGGTTTC